ATCGGGAAGGTGAGCAAGGTCCTCTCACAGGCCATGACTGCCAGGTGGCAGAGTCCACAATTGGAGATCTTTCAACAGTTACTTATTCGGCACCTACTTTGAGCCCAAATCTGCAGGGGCGCCAGGGAATTATAAAGATGCACCACTTCAGAGAGTTTATTGCTTGGTGGAGAGAGCCAACATAAAACCACACAACCGGACCACAGGACATTGGCAGAAGAGGTACTCACCATCCCTGGGGCCAGAAGACAGGGATGACTTGTTCTTATCCATTTCTAACTCTCGGCTCAGGCCTGACTCTACCCCATGTGGAGCAGAGCATCTTAGCCAGTGTCTCCGAAGACAAACTGTTGGGTACAGGCATCTACCAATTACAGCAAAGGTGTGTCGTTTGCTCTGGGAGGGATCACCATTACCTTCCCCTTCCCTCTCGTTCCCCTAGGCTGCTGAGAACCAGTGGGGAAAATCCCTCCACCTTGGGGACTGATGTCCCTCAAAACCCATGGTCTTCAATCCCATGTGGGCCCTAAGCATGCTCAGCGAAGAACACCCCTTCCATCGCCACGCTCTCTCCTCCACCAGCACCTGGCCCCAACCCTAGCAGATTTCCATCATCTCTCCCTTTTTGAAATGTGAGTTTCTGTAAAGGCATTCTTTATTTTCCTTCAGGTTCTCAGCTACAGATGCATTCAGAGCGAAAATCTTCTGGAAAAAATTCAAAGTTATAAATATCTACGTGTAAGTGACACTTCCTATCATTTCTACATCTCTCATTTATTCTGTCACTGAATACTGGGGTCCCTCCAGCTCTAGGTCCTCAGCTTCAGGACTCTGGAGCCCAGAGATTTTTGGAGAAATAGCCCAGGGGGAAGCAGAGGAAGTGGAGACTTATCTCCATACCTGTTCTCTAAACCACTCGACTCAGAATAGGTAAACAAGCTATCCCTGCCTGAGACCTTTACTGTCTGCCCCGGCGCCCCCGTCTTCTTTCTCTCTGGTACCTCAGCAGTGAGGCTCCCTGCTCAGCGCATCTGTTCTCAGACAGGGCTCCAATGGCCATTCCCTTTCTCTCTTCAGAGTTTTATTAACGTGCTATGTCCAAGCCACCTCTACACAAATAAAGCCTCTTTTCACTCTGTGTCTCCTCGACGTCTCAGCAGGGCTTCCCCACCCATCCAGAGGAGCCTCTTATAAGACGCCGTCAGCACTTGCTGTCCCGACTGGTTCCCTTCCCACCTGCCCTAAACCTATTTGGCCTCCTGTGTTACCTGTGTCATGAAGGCTTCACTGTCTACCCTGAAATCCAAGCTGGAAACCTGCAGGTCATGCTAGCTACCGCCCTCTCCCTCAGGCCTCTCATCAAATCCGTGACCAGATCCCCGTGGTTCCAGCACCACCTCTGAACCTCACCCTCAGCTCTAACTCCATTACTACTGCCCTTCTCAGGGCTCCAACTGGCTGGACGAGCCTGACTGCTCTCCTTGCCTCCAGTCTCACACCTTCTGACATATCTAAAGCACAGACATGACCATGTTATTTCCTGCTTAAGTCCCTTCAGTAGCTCCCCACACTTCCAGGATAATGTTCAAAGTGCCTCACAAATCCTATCAGGCACTGTGTGATCCGGTTCCTGCTCATCACTTTCCATGGGCCACCCACTGACTCGACTCTGGCCACACTGAGCCATGTGTGTTACCTTAGATGTGCCCACTTCCCCTGCCAGGAGACAGACAGGCAGAATGGTCCCAGCAGAAGGAGCAAACACCTCTTCACCGTTACAACACGGTTCAAGCATTCCCTTCTCCACAGATTTCTCCCTCCTAAGTCCCCAGGTAGAATGACTCCTTCTTTTGTGCCACTATTCCCTGGACAGGCCTCTGGCTCAGTACTCCTAACCTGCTTTGGCCTTCTTGATTTCCATGTCTGCAAGCTCTGTGCAGACATGCACAGGCCCTGTCAGCCTCGGGATGCAGAAGGCTGAGGAGGAAGTTCAGAAACCAGAGGAGAGTTCATCCCAAGGAAATAATAAAGACAGACTTATGTCAAGATGATCACAGGATGAAACATAACAAAGCAAGGAGAAAGTTTTAAAATTAAGTCTCTTTGGAGAAGAGAGTTCCAAATACGGAAAAGGGAGAAGACTAGAATAAACCCTATGGGGCCCGACTGGAAGTACCAGGATGAATTCATGATTTTAATGTGTAATTCTTTATTTACGTCCTCTCTCTAGAAATTTCTCTCTCTAGTTATGTCTAGTTCCTTGCTCTCTCTGCCAAGAGCCTAGGAGCAATGGTACTCCAGTAGCAGTGAGCACACTTAGCACTCAGATCCTGGTTTCTAAATTCTGACTCTCCATTAATGGGAATCAAGACTCCCTGGAGAAATGGCTGATTCCAGGGCCGGGGCAAGGAAGATACAAGATAAGCCTGGAACATCTTGTTATACCAGAAGGTATTTAGAAAATGAAGGCAACATGTTAAAAAGACACAGGAGCCTGTTAGAAATCTGCAACAGTTTGAGAATCAAAATAAATCAAAGCAGTGGTTTGCAACTTTGAGTAAAATAAGAATCCATTCATCTATATTGATAAACAAGTAGATTAATAAATAAGGAGAAAAGCAGCTTTTCTTTAGAAGTAGAATGCCAACCAATAAATGTAGAAATTATGCTTTGTTTTGGGTCTAACTGCTGTGGTCCAGTAACAAGTGTAGGACAGCCACTTTGCCTCAGGAACAAACACACGAACATGAACACACACACACACAGAAGCCCACGCTTGTTCACAACTGCCAAGTCACTGGCACTGGCGTCTGTCTCCCTACTCAATAGCCCTGGACAAGGCCAACCCCACCGCTAAAGCCAGCACTGCACACCCATGAGAAGCAGGGTCTTCCATCTCACCTCAAACCGTATCACCTCTTTTCGAACCACAGAAAATCACATTGGGTGAGAACAAACTATTGACATGATCTCAAAGTATCTCTTCACAATTTACTTGTTAATTACAAAGGGGAAAACTGTAAATTTAAAATGGAGAAACCTTGAAGACATCAACTTAACCAAGTGATCAGAGTTAACTTCAGCTTCAGTGGGACCAACTGACATCACATGCCGACTTCCGATGCACTGAGGACACATCACTTCCGGGATGTTCCTGTTCCATATGCAAAAACCCTAATCCAGTCATGTGAAACCATGAGACCAATCCAAATTGAGGAACATTCTACAAAATATCTGGCCTATATTCTTCAAAAATGCCAAGCTAATGAAAAGCAAAGAAAGGCTGAGGAACTTAAATAAGACACATGTGATCATGTTACCTTCAGCTGTTAACAGGAAAAAGACAATCACTACAAAGAACATTACTGGGACAACTGACAAAACTTATATATGGACTATAGGTTAGATAACAGTGTTATATCAGGGTTAAACTTCCTGATTTTGATAACTGTACTCATGGTTATAAGTTATGAGAGAATATCCTTGTTCTTAAAAAATACGCACACTGAAGTTTTGGGGATAAACGGGTACGATGTCTGCAACTTACTCTCAAATGATTCAGAAAAAACATTATAAATATAGATAAAGCAAATGCTAAGTCATAAAGCAAAGGGGGTAAAACAGCAACACTTGGTAAAGGATATATGGGAGTTCTTTGTGATATTCCTGTAACTTTTCCCTAAGTTTGAAATTACATTAAAATTTAAAAAGTTACCAAACAAACCAAGAATCCAACAACAAGGGATGAGTCAGAATTATGGTACAGTCACTCTATGGAAGGCTTAAAATCACACAGCCTTACAAATAATGTTTGTGAAGATACATAACGATAGAGAAAAAATACTTATAACATATACGTCTTGAATGATAAAAGCAGGATACAAAATATTTTATGTGCATATTATTACAACCATGCAAAAGCAAGCATATCATAAAGACTGGAAGGATAAAATCAAAGGAGGTAATAAGGATATTGAGGAGTAGGGAGAGATTGAGTGACTTTTTGCAAAAAAATCAACCCGCTGAAAAAGATACTTGTGAGCACTGGTACTCCCACCGCCAGCAGCTTGGTGAACTGGAAATCAGTGCTGTTTACTGCGTTCTCTTGCCTCAGGCTGTCCCTCCCCAAAGGTGGGGAGGTGGCCCTTAACTACCCACAAGACAACTGACAGAGCAGGTCCGGAGGCCCTCAGGCAGGGGCGTCTTTGGGGGTGGTGGGCTGGGAGTGTGAGGTTCCCATGGTAGCCATCTGCCAGCCCTGCCCCAAAGAGAAGCTTCTCAGTGCGCTCTGACCAGCAAGGTTAAGCTGCTGTGGACATAGTGAGGGGAAGCCCAGCAACGGCGCATCTCAGACTCTCTTCCTGGCCAGGTCAGCGCAGAGACACCTTTGAACGCCCTCAGCTTGACAACACTCGGGGGCCTCTTGCTGGCATAGTCCCACCTGGACCTAGACAGTAAAGCTTCTTGGAACCTCAAAAGGTTTAGGAACTCCTGGATGACCTTATCTAGAGGCGGAGTGTCTGGCTCTGCTGTCTATGGGGATAAAGTGTTAAGTCCTTATCAGTCCTTTACACTTTTAACATGAATCATGGGTTTTGATGGGTGGCAAGATGAAGTTCCCAACATAAGACTCTGCCACCAGAAGGCAGGCCCTGAGAGGGCTGAGCAGCTGAGGAAACAGGGTAGGAATAAAGAGAAAGTCCGCCTCCTTGGCAGGAGAATCGGTTTTGCCCCTCTTACTGTAAGAGACATCTTTACAATTCCTTCCCTAACGAAGTAGGAATAAGAATTAAACAGATTAAGAGACCCTCAGAGCAGGCAGCTGAGGTAGCTAGAGAAAAAAACTCCAGTTCCACAGGGAAGCAGCAGCAAAAGCTTGCAAACTCCGGTGGAGAGAAACTTATTATACCTGGGCAACTTCCTGGTTAGGAGCATCCCAGACCTGCTTCCCAACTATTCCCCGGCCTAAAGCAAAAAGCACCACCATTCCGAGTCACATGACCTGATTTTAAAATATTTTATTACATAGTCTTTTCATGGCACCATCAGGAGTAACAGAAAACGTTATTCCCAGTTCCTAACCACATCCTGAAAAATATACATTTGTATTTATATATTTATACCAATACTCCACCCCATCCTATAATTCCACCACCTATTGTAGGTCTTTTGCTTAAAGCAAGAAACTATTCTCTCAGGTAAGAAAATATATATGGAAGCTAAATGAAGTAATGGTTAAAGTGATGGGGACAGCTTGGTTGTGGGGGCAGGGAGGGAGGGGTGAAGTCCAGGCTAGGCAGGGTGCATCACTGGGGTCCAGCAGAAGTGGAGGAGGACAGTGTATAAAAAGGCAGCGTCAGGCAGGTGGGCTCTGGTGTCCTTGGTCCATTAGGAGATGGCCTTTGCCTCAGGAAGGAAGGCTTCCCAGTACTTTGCCAGCTGCAAAGAAGTAGGGACAGTAAGCAAGTGCCCCCATCTAGTGGCAGAGCCTGAGCCTCAGGAGGAGCAAGCACAGTGCCAAGGACTCCCCTAAATGTCCTAGCCACCCAAAGGGAGGCCAAGCTGAGAATATGGCTAGGCTGAGAGCAGATCTTGGGATAGACTGGCCAGCCAGCCACACTGCCCTTAGCTCGCTAGACTTGGGGGGCGCATCAAGTACAAGGGCAGTCTCTGAAGATAGTCCTGGTTCTGCCCCAGAGGAAATACCCCTGTGGGGGCCATAGCTTTGTCCAGCTCAGTTAGCTCCTCACAATGGAGGCCACTGTTTCACATACTGACTGAGGCATCAGCATCAAGAGGGTTAGGTGGTATCATGGGGTTACAGGAGAGGAGAGTTGGGGTTTGTCCTTAAAAACTAACTCACTGTAGGACTAAGGCAATCCTGCTATTAGCAAAAGACCCTACTGGACGCTCCATGTTGAAGCAATAGGACCTACTTTCAATTACTGATTATAGCAGGGCCCAGCGAGTCCTAAGCAGGGCCAGCCCTTCCTGTCACCAAAGCTCCAAGTGAGCAGCTGGCCTCTGGAGCAGAAGTAGAGGACGGAAGTCATGCATAACTTACATACCTGCTGCTGTGAATACAGGAGTGTCTCAAGGTACTTGATCACATGGTTTTTGAAGTCCTTGGATTTCTCTCTCTGTAGGAGACAGGATTCTACATTGACCATCTGGACACTTGCTCCTTCTCCTCTTGATAGGATGGTAGTGTTTATTGCTGACCAAGGCGGAACACAGCCCCAGAAAGTAGAGCCAGCAGCTGGAATAGCTATAATTTCCAGCCAGCCAAACGGCCTCTGCCAAGGCCTTGCAGGACTTTCTTGTGTGGTGGGTGGTGTTCAGGAAGGGGAGGAGAAAGGACGGGGGACCAGAGGGTATATGACAACAGCAAGCTTTGTTTTGGGTCTAACTGCTGTGGTCCAGCAACAAGTGTAGGACAGCCACTTTGCCTCAGGAACAAACACACGAACATGAACACACACACACACAGAAGCCCACGCTTGTTCACAACTGCCGAGTCACTGACACTGGCATCTGTCTCCCTACTCAATAGCCCTGGACAAGGCCAACCGCACCGCTAAAGCCGGCACTGCACACCCATGAGAAGCAGGGTCTTTCATCTCACCTCAAACCGTATCACCTCTTTTCGAACCACAGTTGAAATCCTCTCAAAGTCCCTTTCATACTGAGTCACCCGAGACTCCCACTGGGAAAAAAGGAAAGAGAGGATCACTTAATATTATAGTACCATTATTAAATCTTTACCTTTGGACAGCAATTCTACATATGAGACCTCAATTGATCCTTATGTCTGTCTGTCCCTCTGGGTAAGATGAAATACCATACGAAGATTCAGCATGTAAGTCAGAGTCCAGCAGAAGACCACCTTCGGGGCAGCTAGAAAAGAGAAGCCGTGTGCCCCAGGCCAAGCCCGGTCTCTGAGAAAGCTCTGGTACTCCAGAGCCTCCAGTAGGTAGTCACCAGCAGCACTGGGAGCCCCAGGGAACTGAACTGAGTTCTCACCAGGGGGGTATATCTGAATCACCATGGCGCTTTTCAAAGACCCAGCCAGAACCCTTCTGCAGAGATTCTGATGTGGCAAGTCGGGGTGAAACGGGAAGAGAGGAGGAGGGCGAGGCCTCAAGGCAAGCCTGTACTCATTCTCAGAGGCTTCCCCGACAGCTAGTGTCCTTTAGGTTCAATCAGCTCTCTTGCATGCTGTAGGGTTCCAAGCATCTGGGCAGGACAGGACCCAGGCTCAATCAGGAGCCAGCGGAAAGCCCCTTGCTGGGCTGCCTTGGGGGCCTCACCTCTGCTATCTCATCCTTGGCCTGCTGCAGCTTGTCAGGTTTGTTGGCCCACAGCAGCCGAGCCTCAGCCTCCCGCTTCTTCTGCAGTGTGGCTTGAGCATCCTGCCAGCGCTGCCACATCTTCATGCGCTGGTCAAAGGCAGCCTGCGGGGGATGGGAAGAGCACACCAGCCCTTCAGGAGCTGTGCTGGCTCTGCCTCAGGGGGGTCTCCCAGCAGCTGTGCTGGGGAAGGAGCGAGCAAGGGCAGGTTCTGCAGCCATGTGTTAGTGCCCAGCTGGAAGTTTAACACTGAAAGCACAGGCTCGGTAAGACTCCTCTCCAAGCCTCCAGTGGGCCAGCGCCATGCTGCTTCATGCTACTCTCAAGGCTGGATGGCTGGGAGCACAGCAGGCGGCCTGACGCCAGCGCCCAGTACTACGGCTTCCTAATCGCCTCCCTCAGATCAGTCAGTCCATGAATCCACACACTTCCTGAGTGCCTGCCATGTGCCAGGAACTAATACAGTGGGAATGAAACACATGGTCCTGCTTTCATGGATCTTATAATCTAACAGAAAAAGCCGACATTATATTAATAATTATGATTAAATAATTACACTATGTAGAATTCAGAGAAAACAAGCAGGGTAGTATAAAAAAACTGGGAACCTAGCTTAGCCTGGGAAATACATCAAGGAAGGTCAACCTAGGGAAGCAACCTTTAAACTAACACCCAAATAGTAGACAGGGTTAACTCAACAGATCTGTAAATAAACACCTAAAGCCACCACAGGGCCATACCGCTTTCATCTCATCCATACACTCAACTGCTCTAGGCTACCAAGGCCCCCAAGAAGCTCCCCAAAGTCCACTTACTGGTCTTCCCTGTTTCCAGTCCCCTGACCACAATCAACATTTCCAGAAGACAGCTGTTGGCCCAACCAAACCATCTCCTACCCCCTCACCGGCTTTGTAGGCCTCAAGAGGCGGCCTGGATGAAAGATCTGTGCCTGGGGCCAACTTCCCAGCCGTGATCCATTTGCTCTCCTTGCCCGCAAAAGTTCCCTGGATGTTTTCTGGGCCTCCTTAGTGCGGGCCTTTGCCAAAACTTGAACATTAGGGAATGAAATGCCACCAAATTCACCTTGCCCAGCAGTGTCACTGCTGCTCACCTGTAATTTCTTAACAGCTCAAAGTCAAAGGATTAGGTAAAGGGTGACCTCACATCCAAGGAAGACTCAAGCCTAACCCTCTGGGCTAACAGTGGTGCAGCTCGAGGGTCAGGGAAGGGCAGAGAAGAGACATGAGCTCATCTCTCCGATCCTATCCCCAGCTCAGGACCATGAGGAGGGCAGGTGAAAGAGCTCTGAGAAAAGAGCAGTTCTCACCCCTGTGCTGTAGGGCACGCTGCCCAGCCCTGGCAAATGGAGCTTTAGGCGAGGCTTCCCTCACCCGGGTCCACAGGGCCCACTCCACCTGGGAGTCCTATTCAAGAGCTGTGTCCTCCAGAGTCCCCAAACAATGCTCCTCTCTGAAAGCTTCCCCAGAGAGCCCCTCCCTGGGATGGCGCTCTAGGCTAAGCTGTCTGACCAGTTTGAAGAATTCCAAAGCAGGTTATTTTTCCAGCCTCTTATCACTCTGGAGTTAGCAGCAAACTAAATAGCAAAGGGAGAGGACAATGAGCAATCTCTCAGGCTATATTAAGCAACTTTATCACGGAGGAAATGAGAGCCCTGGGAGTAGTCAGCCCTTGACAACACAGGAGCTCACTGGTTGGGGAGCTTCGGGGGATAGGGAGTCGGGGTGGCTCTGTTCCAACCCAGAGGCTCACACATCCAGGTCTCAAGTTGGATCAGGGGCAGACTCAGGCTCCCTCTTGGCTCTTTCCTCCATCTCAGGGAGGCCATGCGAGAGCTGATACCACTGCCCAGTGAAGCTTCCTTGCCCATTCTGAAAGGTCAAGGGAAACCAGTCGACCCTGGTCACCAGGAGAAAAGGTGAGGTGCTCGACCTGAGGGGCAGGCTGCAGTATTGTTATCAGTGTGGTCAGCACAGCATACCAAGGGCTCTGGTGACAAGCTCTCTCAGGTCCCTAGCCACACTCCTCCATGCAAGGCCAAGCCGGTTTCGTGTAGTTACCTGACTGCCCACATTGTAGGGATAAGTGGAAGCCAGCAAGAGCTCTTACCAGGGCGAAGCCGCAGCTTACTGTTAAGGAGGCAAAGACCAAAGGACTGAGGAAGTCACTGCTCCAGGGGGCCAAGACAGCAGGTCTGTGATAAGCCTTGCTTGAAGAAAGGAGCACAGAGGATGCTGTCCAACTTCAACGATAAGGAGGGGCCTACTTGGAAATTCAAGGGTGGTTTTTTCTCCAAATGCACTTAAAAAACTGGCTTTGGGCCTCAAAATGACTCAGTGCTGACTAACAGTTAAACGGATTTTATGGTTCCCTTCTGTCTTGAGAGTAGAAAAAGTTACACCTATTTGAGCTATAACAGATGAAACTTTCTTGGGAAGAGGAAGAGTAAATTAAAGCAAAAGGAGGAGAAAGAGGAAAGGAAATAGAAGCTTACGCGGACTATGGCCAGGAGGCGAATGTAGTCACTCAGGAGCTCGGCAAGGAGGAAGAAGTCATTGTTGGCCTGTTCCTGGTGGAGCTGCTCAATTTTTTCTTCCACCTCAGCCAGCTGGGAGAGTGCCCGTGACAATGCTGTGTTGTCCTCGGAGCTCCCAAGCATGGCTAGACTCTTTGCAAACTGGGCTGTGTTCAGCGCTAGCTCTGGAGGGAGGAAGATAGCAGAGGGCTGATCTCACAAGGAAAAGGGACAAGTCAGGGGCCGGCCTGGTGGCACAGTGGTTAAGTTTGTGCACTCCGCTTCGGCAGCCCAGGGTTTGCCGGTTCACATCCCAGGCGCGGACCTATGCACCGCTCATCAAGCCATGCTGTGGTGGCGTCCCACATATAGAGCAGAGGAAGATTGGCACAGATGTTAGCTCAGAGCCAATCTTCCTCACCAAAAAATAGAAAGAAAGAAAAAAGAAAAGGGACAAGTCAGCTGGCATTGCATGATATGTCTCAGCAACGCTGCCCCCTACGTATCTAGCAACTGTGGGCTCTGCAACCCAGTCACTTACACCACAGCCAACTGTATTCAGAACATGAAGGGAATGCAGCCTGGTCACACGAGCAGGGAGAGGCACCAGCTGTCATAGTTTCACCAGGTTAGGCCTACCTGGAAGCAGCAGCTCAAATATTCCTGGAGAACCAGGGGCCAGTTCATACAAACAAGTCAAAGGAATGATCCTGATTTTTATGTTAAAGCTCACAATAAATATCCTGTCTGCATGAGAAAGAGTGAATGCATGTGTACACTGCATAGTCCTGCACGTTCTAGAGCAGGATCAACTTCTTTTGTGAAGGGCCAGATAGTTTAGGTCTCGCAGGCCACATATGGTTACACTCTCTCTCTCTTTTTTTCACTCATCCCTTTAAAAAATGTAAAAACCATTCCCAGCTCACAGCAATAGGCTCAGGGCCAGATTTGGTCCATGGCTGGGCCATATTTTGCGATACTTTGGCTTCATTCTACTGGTTTTCTGAATGTTTACATTTCTGATTATCAACATGTTTAAGGCAGAGAAGGAAAGCATTCAAAGTTGGCAAATTTCACTAGCTCTTAAGAAAATCTCACCAACGAAAGGTGAAGAACAGTTAGGAAACATAAATGGTTTCCCTGCATTTACACGTTGCTCGTGTGACCAGGGAGCTGAAGTGTGTGACATCATTTTGGATATAAGCCAGTAACTCAAATCATACCAACAAAAGCCCAAGGTCCAGGTCAAGCTGCACCTAGGATGGCTTCCCTGCCCCTCCCAGGTAGAAAGGACATTGCCCACAGTGTCTGAGTCATGTTTCCTGCCAGGAGATGCAGGGCCTATCTTTTTGATCAGAACACCAAGGACCAGGTGGGCTAAGAACTTCAGCTTGAATGGCTGAGAGGCTTGAGAACAGCATGCCCTCCCATCTCCAGCTCACTGGAGACATCAATTTCCCACCTCCAAGTGCATTTCAGAGGTTGTTACCTTTCCTATGGTTGACTAGAGTTTCTACAACAGCATGCAGTTTCCGTAAGCGCTGCTCCTCACACTCTACCTCCTGGAGCTTCTCCTCAAACCACTGAAACACACAAGCCCAGAGCTTTAATGGAGGTCACTCTCACAGGTGTAGAGCACAGTCTTTCCTTAGCAGTGTTTTCAAAAAGGAACTGAACTATCTTAATAATAAAGTCTCAAATCTCAGAAATTTCAGGACCCCTCAGGGTTTCTGACCCATAAGCATGACCGGACAGGGTAAGCTGAGAGGCACAGGGCTACTCACAATGTCTGATTCATTCATCTTGATGGTCATCTTGCTGACCGCATCTGTGGCTTTGTTGAACATCTTGAGGAGACCAGCGCCACTCAATGTCTGGGTACCCACAGCGCGTGGCAGCTAGAAGACCAAGAAGGCGGGGATGGCAAGTTATCTGCTGCCCCTATTTTAGGTTCAGAAGAATTAGTATTCATCAGATGGCATGCCCAAAACTTGCTAAACAAATTATTTGAACTATAGATTGTTGTTTTCAAAGGGAGTTAGACAAATCCATAACTAGCACATAAAGAAAAATCAAAGGACCACTTAAACAGAATCAGCAAAATTTTCAGCTTTTGATATTGTGTGCAGAAAGGAAGTAGAGTGTGAGTATCATGTGGCCAGGTGACCTCACACTGAGATCGTCTGCCCACCCAGGCATGAACTGCTTAAATACCAAGCATGCTTTTATGAAAAGTCAAAAGTTCCTCTGGATTAGCTTACTCTGCACACAGCTGGACTTAAGGTCTTGAAAGACTTTGAAGTTGCGCTGTGATTCCATTTGGATTTTCTTCAGTGAACAAAGGTCCAAAGACAGGAGCATTATTTATTCAGACTGAAGCTATTTTTAGGGATGATCTAGTTAAGCCAAGCATGTCAAATATTTAGAAATAATTTGATTGGCTCAGTCTTACCACTACTTAGTCATGGAAGGGATGCTGAAGAATCTACAGTATATATAGTACACTAGGCTGAAAAATTAGATTTTAGTGCTCAGGACTCAGGGCAGTAGTTCTTAACTTGGGGCCATTTTGCCCTCTAGGGGCCATTTGGCCATGTCTGGAGATAATTTTGGCTGTTAAAACTGGGTGGGAGGGGCTACTGGCGGCATGTCGTGGATAGAGGCCTAGGATGCTGCTAAACCTACAATGCACAGGACAGTCCCCCACACCAAAGAATGATTCAGCCCAAAGTGTCAATAGTGTCGCCTCAAACGCTATTCTAGGGACATGAAGTGAGGATCAGGGGGTGAAAAGGAAGAATGTATTTAGGAATCCCAGAGGGGGAATGAAAAGATTTTTTAACTAAAAAATTTCATTTTGGAGGGAAAAAACCCATATACCTAGTGTCATTTTTTTCATTAGAGTAGTACATAATATACACAAATTAAAATTTAAAAATTAAATTAAAAAATAAATACAAAATAATAATCCCACCCTGTCACTTATTTCCTTCTAGTTTTCTTTCCTACGAGATACATTGTTTTATTTGTTTTTGTTTTTTGAGGAAGATTAGCCCTGAGCTAACTACTGCCAGTGCTCCTCTTTTTTGCTGAGGAAGACTAGCCCTGAGCTAACATCTGTGCCCATCTTCCTCTACTTTATACGTGGGACGCCTACCACAGCATAGCGTGCCAAGCGGTGCCATGTCCACACCTGGGATCCAAACCGGTGAACTCCAGGCCGCCGAGAAGCAGAACGTGCGAACTTAACCACTGCACCACTGGGCCGGTCCCACAACATTGTTTTATTCTGTTGTTTCTTTCGATCCTTAATGACTAACAGCTGTTTCAAGTTTCACTTTTCATAATTCTTTTAATATACGCTTCCAACAAATATACATGAACATTTCTGTATACTTTGTTTATGATGAGAATAAAGTATTTGTTATAGTGATATATTTTACTTAATTAATTCTTCAATTGTTAGCAAGTGGGCTGTCTCCAATTTTTCACAATCATGAATAGCCTACACATAGCCTGTAAAAAAAAGACTGCCCACTTGAATCAACACTTTTGCTACATGGCAGTTCTGTGGTCTATGGTAACTGGTTTTGAACGAGTGCCCCTCAGCTCCTGGAACAAAATAAGCATTCAATTTGAGCCAAGTAGTAAACTAGGAAAGACACGCCAAGGACTTGCCAAATAGATCATTGCGTTGATCCAGTAAGACAACACTAGGCTGCAGTTTGACCTCTACAACCAGTTGCTTTTGACTACAGGCAGAACTTCTTTAATTTCAAAGGCTGAAAAATACTTGACACTCTTGGGGGCTTACAAACTAGGATATAGTCTGGTAAAAGGCTCTCTGCATGTTAAGTGCTCAAACAGTTGTTGAATGAACTAGTTTCAATTCACTGGGGGTAGAAATCAATCATGAAGTTCAGTTCGCACAACACTAACCTCTTCTTTTTCCAAGAACTCCCTGACATCGGGGTCCTGTAACATGGTGGGATGATTCACAATCCTCTGAAGGTACCTACAGGGTAAGCAGTTATCTGGTTAGTCGACCTGGCCTGACAGGTTTTGGGTGTCATACAGTGCCGGCAGTCTTTGCTTACTTTAAAATGTCCTCAGATAAGGCACTTAAGTATGACTGCTTATAACCACCTTCAAGTTCATGTCTTCATATTTCCAAAAAGGGAAGAAAAACAACTATTCAGAAAGAGACCTAAGAGTCATTCATATTTGATTGTCCAAGAAGGAGAATGTGACTGTCTGCTAACTCAGGATGGGGAAAGAAAAGAAGATGGTCTATTCCTAAGGAGGGAAGGCAAGGGACTTAAGGAGGGTTAGAGATAACACAGTGTGTGAATATATAATTCACTCAAGTTTCATCTCTATTAACTCCAGTGAATGTCTCATAATGAAGTCTCAGTTTCAGCTTTTCACTTATTCTCATGTTATTCAGGAAAATGGGTGCACGGCACCTACCTTTCTAGAGCAGCCCTCCGTTTTTCAAGAAATTCTGCAGAAGAAGAATCTTCCTTCCCAACTTTTACTTTTGTCATTCCTGAAATGGAATTTAAAAAGCAAAAATAACCACAAAATCATGAAAAAGATAAACCTGTAAAAAAGAAAAAACAACCCTAGGAGGAAAGGCAATGAAGACAGCACTACAAAACACTACAAAAGCCAAAGGTTGCTTCTGTGTCACCAACAGGTATGAACAAAAGTTCTTTACATGAGAGTCATTTTTTAAACTAGTCTTGAAATGCTGAAAGTTTGAAACTCTGGGACTTGCAGAGCATGTTTTCTAAAAGGAGGCCATGGGACTCTAAGCGTAGATTAACAAACATCAATTGATGGTAACGTGTAGGTTCCTTGCGGCCCCCTCACCCTTATCCAATCGAGTACATTTCAATCTGGAGGGAACAGCAGTCATTTAAGACTCTTGGATACCAACACCAACACAAACACACACAACTGTGGAAGCTAAAACCAGAGCCTCCTACTGCATCCAAGGAAAGAGGACATATCAAAACATGCTATTTCCCTAGACCCCATGAGATTTATAGGAAAATGCTGGAAATATTTCTTTTCTAACCACAAGATTCTACACTCATTAACAGAAAGTATATTGCAGAAAGAATGCAAGGGAAAAAATCCAAGCTGAATAAAAGACACAGGCTCTTACCTATTAGGCTCTTCTCGGGTGGAGGAGGGACAATGAAGCCATTCTGAGAGTGTTTCTCTGAAAGCTTCTCATAAAGACCCAGAAAGTCACTAAATCTTCTTTTCACTGCAAACTGTTTACTTCTGAACATTGGTAAGCTTGTCTTAAGGATAGAAAAAACACAAGGCAATTTCATTCCAAATAGGGGATGAATGAGTATCTTCAAAGTCATCCGGAGCCACCTGGTAAATAACTATCAAAGGAATCTATTTCCCAGATCCTTTAGCCACCTGGTAAATAACTTTCTCCAAGGCTGAGATTCCTAAACTTTTTTGATCTACAGTTCCCCTCTGGCTGTCTGGGAGTCTATGAAGCCCTTCCCAGAATAATGATTTTAAATGCATACAATAAAATATATAAAATTACAAAGGCAACTAATTAAATTCAAATACAGTTTCATTCCCAGGTTAAGGACTCTTGCTCTAAGGAAAAAGATGTTGAAGTCTAGTTTAAAGCTAGAATTCTATGGTCACCTGTAACCCATTCATCCTGCACTGACTTATTAAGGATATTAGCTGCTGGAATTAAAGCAGCCAAACTAAACAGAAGACAGACTAAACAGTGCTCCTAAGGGGGAGGATCACATGAAACGTCTACACTGTAGATATTTTAACCTCTGAAGTGTCACAGAATCTAGAACTCACAGGAGGCAGGCCAACAGGTAGTGGAGAGACAATACACAGGAGACTTCAAGTAAAAAAGGCCTAGTAAAAAAGACTAGGCCTACATCATAACAAGAAATCATTTAATACTCACCAGCTGGCAAAATTTAAGGAAGTTGGCTTTTTTTGGCAATTGTTGGCAAGGAAGTGTATCAATGGGAACTTTTTTTTTTGTGAGGAATATTAGCCCTGAGCTAACTACTGCCAATCCTCCTCTTTTTTCTGAGGAAGACTGGCCCTGAGCCAACATCCATGCCCATCTTCCTCCACATTATACGTGGGACACCCACCACAGCATGGCATTAGCCAAGCGGTGCCATGTCCGCACCCAGGATCCGAACCGGCGAACCCCGGACCGCCGAGAAGCAGAACGCGCGAACTTAACCGCTGCGCCACCAGGCCGGCCCCTCAATGGGAACTTTTACACACTGCCAATGGGAGTATAAACTGGTACAGACTTTAAAAAATAGTTTGTATTCCTTTTCTTCACCATTTGCACTACCCATGACCCAGGGTGATTACTCCTGATTACATATCCTAGAGAAATTCTTCTATGTGTACATTAGGAGACATGTGCAAGAATGCTCATAATTACAAAAACTGGAAACATGCCAAATATTCACAACAGGAAAATGGATAAATATGTTATGTTATAATCACACATGGACTAATTACAGCTACACACAACATGGATGGTCTGAGAAACAATGCTAGTAAAGAAAGCACTATTTTCAGCATGATACCATTTTTATGAAATTCAAGAACAAAGCAAAACAGTCTATTTTTTAGAGATACATATGTGAAGACTGTTTATAAAGGAAATGAGAGACAACTCAGGAGAGTGGGTGCCTCTAAGGTGTGAGGCAGGGGATATGACAGGGAAAAACACGCAGGTGAATTCAATGGTACTCATCTTAAGACTGGTGGTAGGTTCGGGGCTTCACTTTTTATGCTTCACAACCTGCATACAACATTGTGTAAGTTTGTATGCATTAATATTATATAAAAAAGGAAGACCAGACCTGAGGGGCAAAGGTTAGGGAAAGTATTAAAAGAAGCTCCATATAGGAAACCTCAGAAGAACTGATGATTTTTAAACAGGTGATATAGTTTGGGTCAATCTGCCAAACTAGCTCTAAGCAACATAGTTCCTAAGAGGAATGGGACTATATCAGATACACTGCATGTCTTAATAAAACTTACAAAGTTTCACACTGAAGTGTTAGCTCTCTGGAAGAAAGTGGAAAGGCTCAGATGATATTACCAAGGGGATGCAGGCTTGCTCCATCTTGAGTAAACTTGAAGGAAGATGTTGGCAAAGAAACTAAAGAAATACCCAGAAATAATCTGAATGATGACCTTCTTGGTATAAGCACCCAGGTCTATTAAGGTGGCCATCAGCAGGGTCCCCTGGACTCACCTGTGTTGTAACTTTGTAGGCTACATAGGCGTTCATACCATCCCCTGTGGGAGAACAAGAAAGCAGGAGAGGATTATTTTGTAAACCCAAGCAGTGCTAATCTTGCTAACATTTAACCAGGGTCATAAGCCACAGGAGCCCTGTATAAGAAGGATGCTTGTTTCATCTCCAAGCTTTATATACTATCCTGCAATCCAGCTCCTACTTTTCCTCAGAGCCTCTGTGGCACATATCAGGCCCCCATGGATGCTGGCAAGGCCCCAATTTGAGTCAGACAAGAGAGTCAGCCTCCTGTTCCAAAGCCAGGCTCCATTTATACCCTCCACAAAGAAGCAGTGGATACTGACAATCCATCAGTTGTTACCATGCCAATATTTGGGCTGGTTATACACATCTGTCTAAAACCAAACAATTCTCTTGCTGTATAAAGTAGGAGGAGGAGAAGGAAGCAACTGATGTAAAAGGAAACAAGTAGTTCTACCCTAAGCTAGCTCTGGGCTGTTTGCTCTTTCAGAAATACTTCACGGCCTCCTCCATGGGTGCTGGGGGACACTGACCTCTCTCATCTAGTATGTTCACCCAGAGCAAAGGGCCTGGCAGGAAGATACTTTGGCTGCCTAATATCACACAAATCTCTCTTTCCTGCAGGAATTTTTTTCTGAAAAAGCCTTTGACTGTTAAATAATTTGGGATTCAAGCAATTGTTTTTCTCTGTGGCAGTGTCCTGACCTAGACCACTTGGGAACATAAAGGCACCATTGACTCCCTGAGCACTGAAAAGACATACATTGGAATCTAGTCAGACAAAGCTCCAGTGCTGGACTCTGGCATTTTGAGTTGGTTTGTTCCCTTCCTCTCCACCCCTCAATTCTTCCCCACACCAAACAGGAAAACCTAGGTCAACAATTACTAGCTGCTTAAGCTTCTGAACTGGTCCTGGAGTGTGGGCCGGGGTAAACAAGGTGCAGTAGTGGATTAGCAGGATCACCTATTGCAACTTGGTTTCCATAAGATGGCGGGGAATGTCTACTTTTATAAAGTACACAGAGAAGTTGGAGATTATACAAGAGTAGAGGACTTGCTTTCTCTACCTCTCCAGCCCCTATCAAAAGAGTGTGTATAAAACAGAAATGATAAGCAAATAAGCATTAGAACTTACTTTATACTGATTACCACCATTAGTTCTCCTCTAAAACACTTATACTACACTGCCTAGTACTATTAAGGATGCTTACCACTGATAGAAGGAAATAAAAATCTAAATTTACTTTAAGGATAAAGTATTCAAAATTTTATTCACAGTTGAATAGTCATGGTCAAACATCCAGAAGGTCCATCCCATAATTTAGTACCTGCAATTAAAGAAAGTCTACATGCAAATACACACAAAACACAGTAGCAAAGCAGGATCTTCAGACACTTTGCATGTCAGCTGCTTTTACTGAGGCAATGTGTGAGAAAAGAGACATACTTGCATGTACATACAGAGTTCATAAGACTTAGAAATGGGTCAGTAATATAGCAGTTTTACATTTACCTTCATTTCCTAAATAATTTCAGAAAGTTCAAGATGGCACATGCAAATTACTAAAGCTCTAAAAAGCTTATCCTGGTAGAAGTAGGATTCTGATTTATTTAGATGTGTGCATGAATAAGAAGCACATGTTGAATAAACAGCCCACACAAACAGAAGGTGTTGTTATGAAGATCAGGCCCTGAATATGAAAATGCTTCTAAGTAGCTAGCTTGTTGGCATCAACATGTCTAAGAATCTAGACTATGGTACAAGTGGATGAAGGCTTCTCATCAAAGGTGATTCGTGTTTAAATCAATGTGACCCACGGGATGTTTAAATTACTGCTATGGGTTGAATTTTTGTCCCCCTCAAAATAAAAAAGCCAGCCCTAGTTGTCTAATGGTTAAGATGAGGTGCTTTCACCACCAGGGCTCAGGTTCATTTCCTGGTCAGGGAACCACACCACCATCCCGTTGGTGTCATACTGTGGTGGCTGCACGTTGCTGTGATGCTGAAAGCTATGCCACTGGTATTTCAAATACCAGCAGGGTCACCCACAGTGGAGAGGCTTCAGTGGAGCTTCCAGAATAAGACAGACTAGGGAGAAGGAAGAGGTCATCCACTCCTGAAAAAATGGGCCATGAAAACCCTGTGCATAGCAGTGGAGCATTGTCTGATATAGCGCTGGAAGGTGAAAGGATGGCGCAAAAAGACCAAGCAGCGTTCAGCTCTGCTGTACACAGGATCGCTAGGAGTCAGAATTGACTCCACAGCACTAACAACGACAACAACAAAAGATACGTTGAAAGCCCTAACCCTGAGTATCTCAGAATGTGACCTTATTTGGAAATAGGGTCTTTATAGAAGTACTCAAGTGAAAATGAGGTCAGCAGGGTGGGCCCTAATTCAGTATGACCGGTGTCCTTAAAAAAAGGGAAATTTGAACAGAGACAGACACGCATAGAGGGAAGATGAGGTGAAGACACTCAGGCAGAATGCCATGTGACAATGAAGGCAGAGACTGAAATGATGCATCTACAAGCCAAGGAATGCCTGAGGCTACCAGGATCTAGGGGAGAGGCATGGAAGAGCCCTTCCCTAGTGCCTCCAGGGGAGCATGGCCTCAGTGACACCATGATTTCAGACTTCCGGCCTCCAGAACTCTGAGCGAATTTATTTCTGTTTTAAGCCACCCCATTTGCGGTACTTTGTTACAGAAGCCCTAGGAAACTAATATACTCCCTCTCTCTCCTGGTTCAAACGTCATGACTTTTAAATATTAAAACAATTAGTATTATTTACTTACAGTTTATCTTATTCTACCAAGAATTTAAAGCAGCTAATAACTAGCTTAAAATCAATGTGCCTATAGAATATTCACAGATATTACAGAGGCAAGAGAGAATCCTAAACATGTTATCCAAAGTTCTGGTCCAGGCTCTACCACGGACCGCATTGTGACCAGACAGGAAAACTACTTATTACCTATTGGTTCTCAGTTTCCTCTATTATTGGATGAGGGAATTGTCTAAGACGCTCATAAACATCCTACCAGTGCAACAGTCCAGGAAAAGTAAAACTCAACAGTTTAACGACAAACCATTTTGGCATAAAGTCTTTATAAATTCTTGTTCTTCAGAATAGACAAAGGGTGTTGGAAATTACATTTTTCCTCTTAATCATATAAACACCACCCCTGTTTAGGAGGATAAGGCTCTGTATAGCCTCTTCTGTCAGGGGAACCTGGAACAAGGAAAGTCAAGGCCTGTTGCTCTCTGCTCACTAATAGCTTTCACAAGCTTGGGACACAGAAAGGCTACTTCCAAAATCCAAGTTTTGGCCAAAGTTAAGTGCTCTTTTTGAAAATCTAATTTCAATTTGACCAAAATTCAACCTGGGTCCTTTACTCTTTACCTTTGAAAGAGAGATGCAGACTTCCTCATTTCTTTAGGATATCAAAAGTACACGATAAACGACATGTAACAAGAATTCCAAACTTCTTGAGGGAAAAATAAATTCAGTAGTCCCAAATTTTAGAACATGTGTTTTTAGGGTGTTTAAACAGAATTTATGATCTTTTTTCTTTTTTTGAGGAAGATCAGCCCTGAGCTAACATGTGCCACCAATCCTCCTCTTTTTGCTGAGGAAGATTGGCCCTGAGCTAACATCCATGACCATCTTCCTCTACTTTATATGTGGGACGCCTACCACAGCACGGCTTTATAAGTAGTGTGTAGGTCCACACCAAGGATCTGAACTGGCAAACCCTGGGCTGCCGAAGCAGAATATGCAAATTTAACCACTACGCCACCAGACTGGCCCTGGAATTTATGATCTTAAAAGGGAGTAAAATGGTTTCATCAATTCTGTGGGAGAAGGCAATGGCTGGGTTTTTAAAAAAGGATTCTAATAGTATTTGACGCCTCTGATTTTTTTTCCTAAAGCCAAGAAAAGCCTAAATAAAGTGCTGGGTGACTGCTGTTTCAGGCCTTAGAAGCATAGCAAGGGGTGTAATTTCACAGGAAAGATAATAATGCAGTACTTCACACTGGCTAGTTCGGCTCTGGAGGTAACCATCTAGAAATTAGCTAACTATGCTTTCCACAGCCACATCTTAACATCACAAGGAGTCCCAAGTACCTATCTTACTATCTTACTTACCTATCTTCTCAGGATCAGTTATACCAACTGTCAAATCAAAATGGTCTTCCTGTTCTTCTTCTTCTAGCTTTTAAAGAGAAGACAAATCATGAGAGTTGATATAAAAAAAGGCTATTAATTTCACCCTGTATTAATCTTATATCAATAAAATAACATCAAGATAAATCCTTCAATGAATCAGTGTTCAGTTCCGTCCATTCCCAACAATCCCAATGAACCAACTCCCACAGTTTTAAGCTGGAGCCTGCTCAAAGGTCTTTGTTACATCTATTCTCTTAAAACCTTATTTTGATCATAATGAATAATTACTCGGTTTTGGAAGACTTACCTCTCTCAGGCTAAGGAGGGAATGAGGAGAGACTATACTCTTTAATACGGGAGCTTCACACACTAAAAATCATTAGTGACCATTGAAAGCCTTTGTGCTGACCTCTGGGCAAGGCAATAGACACTTTGCCCAAGAAAGAGTCCTTTATTGGACTCTGGCTGTCCATTAACCATAAAGGTCTTCTTCAAGAGTCATAAATATTTTCTCAAGGTTCATGCTCAACTGAATTTCAGACTGGCAGCACAGTCCTAAAAATCCAAAAGAAACAAGACCAACAGCATAGATTCTCACCTCCTCAGAGCTTGGTTGTGGCTTAGAAGAATTTATGGCTTCCTGTGGAGGAAGAGAAATGAGCGTTTTGGCTGGTACCTTCTTCTGATTATTTTGTGTGCTGTCCAGGGATAGCTCCACTGTGGCATCTAAAAATAGTTGATATTTTATAATGAAGGTCAATAATGGGTCTTTGATGGCTAAACTGCAGTTCTATAGGTTAAGAGACAAGAACAACGGCAACTACTCTCAATACTTAGAGGTTCTCAGATTAAGAGTGAAGAAATTTTTACGTGGCTAAAATGGGAGGATAGTAAAAGAGGTGTTTGTCTAGCATAAGTTTAGGAGAGCAACCTCTTTCATTCCCAAATACAACCACTTGGCTACCCTCTACCTAAAATTTAGGCAAGAACCAGGTATCACGCAAAAAGACTACACAGTCAAAGTAAGTGTGCCAATTTACTTTATTCTCAGGAGTATTCCTTTGAAACGTTATATAAACCCTATTTATTCTTTTTATAACTATGTGTAAAAGAATAAGTGCGTCTATCTGCTTTACAAGCCACTATGATAGAAAAGGCAGGTACACCGACAGCAAAAAATGACATCAAAGGAAGAGTCAGGAAAACTGTAAGCTAGAAAAAATGGACCCAAGATACAAACACAGTAATGCTTGGGAAAAGGCACTGTTTGCCACACATGAGGATGGCGCTGCTGTTTTAGCAGTTTAAGAATTATTCACAATTTTAATTTTAGATCATCTTGCAAGGATTAAGATATGTTTAATATATGCTGTCCAAGAGGGATAAAAAGACATGTAATATCTGAAAAATCTTTCTAATGCAAATAGTTTTTAAAAAGTAGCGCTTAAGAGTCACCTTTGTATATCTGGGAAAATCCAGTTGAGAATAACTCATTCCCTAGGTGTTCTAGAGAGGGGACTTTTAAAAGAGCGCTTTGCACCATTTTTAGGCATTAAAATTTATTTTTTATTTTATTTTTTAAAGATTGGCACCTAACAACTGTCACCAATCTTTTTTTTTTTTTCTGCTTTTTCGCCCCAAATCCCCCTAGTACATAGCTGCACGTTTGAGTTGTGGGTCCTTCTAGTTGTGGCATGTGGGACACCACCTCAGCATGGCCTGACAAGCGGTGCCACGTCCACGCCCAGGATCCGAACCAGCGAAACCCTGGGCAGCCGAAATGGAGCGTGCAAACCCAATCACTCGGCCATAGGGCTGGCCCCCATCCTGCAGGAATCTTGATGGCAGGGACTGCATTTTACAGGTTTGGGACTCCTCCACAATCATATCTTACATAGAGTTACATTTCAAATATGTAAATATACTATTTTACTCTTTTTTTTTGAGGAAGATCAGCCCTGAGCTAACATCTGCTGCCAATCCTCCTCTTTTTGCTGAGGAAGACTGACCCTGAGCTGACACCTGTGCCCATCTTACTCTACTTTATATGTAGGACACCTGCCACAGCATGCCTGGATAAGAAGCACGTAGGTCCACACCCAGGATCCGAACTGGTGAGCCCTGGGCCGCTGAAACGGAATGTGCGAATTTAACTGCTGCACCACCAGGCGGGACCCCTTTTTTGGTTTTTCACTTTAACTCAGCAATGTGAAGATTCCTATTATAAGTTATGAGTCCATACTCACCTGCAAAGAGATCCTGTGGCTCTTGGTCTTGTTCCTCATGGATCCCATTTTCTCTGGAGCCATTGTTGATGGGAAGAGAAGCAATTCTCTTTGGGGACTGGGGCTTACTCTAAAAACAAAGAGATATTCTGAATAAAACAGTGCCATTAAGAACAAACCTAGAGGGGCCGGCCCCCTGGCCAAGTGGTTAAGTTCGTGCACTCTGCTTCGGTGGCCCAGGGTTTCGCCAGTTCGAATCCTGGGCGCGGACATGGCACTGCTCATCGAGCCATGCTGAGGTGGCATCCCACATGTCACAACTAGAAGGACCTATAACTAAAAATACACATCTATGTACCGGGGGGCTTTGGGAAAAAAAGGAAAAATAAAATCTTAAAAAAAAAGAACGAACCTAGAAAGTGACTTTTAATTCATCCCTCAGTGGCTCCCACAGGTGTTTAGGGGAAGACAGGATCACTAGTCAGCCAGTTTAATAAGCAGCCAATCATTATCAGTGCTGTAAGTGCTGCCCAGGTGATCACAGAGCTAAAATAAACTCATACATTTTAAAGTTAATTTTCAACACCATAGCCTTACTGAAATGCCCTATCCCAAAGCACGTGATACCGATAAGGGTATGTACACACACAGACAATTTTCAAAAGAAATGTGTCCAACTGCATTTCCCCTTCTCAGTTGGTGACTTTCATTCTTTCAAATGCTGATGGGGCACATTCTAGTGACCAGGACACGACACTGGAGTCCAGAATTCAAGCTCTGGATCCTGGTTTACTTTGTGGTCTTGGCTAAACTGCTCACTGAAGTCCAGATGTGTGGATATTACTGAACCCTTGACAGGCAAAGGAAGGTATAACACTTTACATCTAAAGCTGTTTCTAAACATAACTTTTCTTTTCATCCTTCACTTACACAGACACAATTTTCCACCACACCCGTGTCAGGCTAGCAGAACAAAAACCAGTCATGCTTAGCCTAGTGGGCACATGGTGAAAATACAGTCAGGCCAGGGCCTTTATCAAAAGCTCAGTGATCAGCCGCAAACAAGGGTGGGGTGGGACCCAAACCAGTACCAGAAAGAACAAAGCTGGATTGTGCAGAACATGAACAGAAAGCTGGGAATCCAGCTTCAAAAGCCATGGTGTGGTACTACAGGGTTTTGAAGTCAGACCCCAAGGCCAAATCAGTTAAAAGACCTGATTTAAGGAATCTTTTATGAAACATTTCCTTAACAAATCTGAGGGAGTTTGTTTCCTGCAAACAGGCTTTTTCTGACCCAATGGAACAAAAGGAAATGACAGATCCGACGGGTCCTCTGAATTTGCCATGCAAACAGCGCCATCCCAACAGTGGGGCCACCCTCAGAGAAAGAAACTGTATTAGATTTGTATTAGCAAACAATGCTTCTACTGGAACTTTTCTATGCTAACAAAGTTTACTGAGCACTTAGTGGTATATGCTTAAATGTTATACAAATTCTATTAGTGATTCTGTCTTCTAGCTTCTATAATCTTAAAAAACAACAACAAAAATCACTGCAGAGACACAGACAACAAATAATAGGGCACAAACAAAACTCACACTTCCCTTTTGTCTCATACATTGCCAACCACCTTCCTACATATACACCTACATATTCCTTCCTATACATACTCTTGTGCTCTTGTACAGTATAGGGATCTCATAAAAAGCCATCTGATTTCTTTTAATTCAGTTCCCACTGATACTAGTCATCTTTAGATGGAGACTAGGAAAGACTAAAACTCAAGATATGTTAAGGATAAATGTATACAAATGTAATTTACTAGTAGCTCACCAGGGAGACCAAAGCACCAGAAAAGGCACAGGTTAGAATTTAGCCATTTCTAAAGACGGCTAGAAGAATTCATTCCTGTGACACGAAGATGAATAAAGCCAGCTTTCCATTTCTGATTTACCAGCTAAACTAGAAAGTTTAAAGACAAAGAACATTTTCTGAAACAATGATAGAACAGCAGCCTGTCTTTCCCTGCACTAATGAGAAGAGAGAGACCCAGGTGGACAGGACACTGCAGTGACAACTAGAGCTCTCTTCCTGTCTCTCTTCCTCCACCAGACCCAAACGGTAAGCTGCTTGACTAGAACCATGATGAAACTGACTTGTGCTCCCTTAGTAAGCCAGGTAACAACTACCCGTGAGCACAGAAAAAACTGCTCCTCAGATATCCTCTGGGACTCCATCCCCAAAACCACTCATGGCTGAGTTCTAAGAAAGCTGAAGATAGTTAAGATGGATTATGATATTCCCTACCCTGATCTTTCCTCTGTAGTTGTTCTTTTACAAAATTATTCTTCTATGTACGTAAAACTTTTTACTCTGTTCCTCCACCCGCCACCATCTGAGCTTTTTCTTTTTTTGGAGGAAGATTAGCCCTGAGCTAACTGCTGCCAATCCTCCTCTTTTCACTGAGGAAGACTGGCCCTGAGCTAACATCCATGCCCATCTTCTTCTACTTTATACATGGGACGCCTACCACAGCATGTGTGCCAAGCAGTGCCATGTCTGCGCCCGAGATCCGAAGCGGTGAACCCCGGGCCGCTGAAGCAGAATGTGCGCACTTAACCGCTGCGCCACCGGGCCGGCCCCATCTAGGCATTCTTAACGTCATTAAGAGTTGTACAAAAATCCCAATTTCAGGGACTTAACATTCTATCGTATGGGTATACCACAACACAGTCATTTCCCTAAGGATGGCTATTTAGACAGTTTCCAGGTTTTTATCCCCACAAATAATGCTGTGATGTCTATCCATATATATAAGCCCACATCTGATTATTTCCCTGGGATAGATTCTTAAGTAGAATTATTGGACATAAAATTTTCAAAGGTTCTGCTAAGCTGCCTTCCAGAAAGATCACCAGCTTGCATCCCACCTCCCACCCCTCAGCAATGTGTGAGTCCTGCACCCACAGCAGCAGTAAGCATTCTCTCTCTTTTAAAAAATCTTTGCCAGGTTGAGTGGTGGAAAGTTGTCTTTACTGGCCATTGGAATCCCTGTGACTTTTCTCAATGTCCTCTGCCCATTTTTCTACACTAAGTTAGTATTACTTAGTTAGATGTACACTTTTCTTACATAAGTATGTCACCCCTCTCTCTGCAATATTATACAGTACCCCTCCCCAACTTTACTTCTTTTCACATTTGCTTTATTTTTGGCCTTACCAAATTCACTTTCAGTTGATTGATCTGGATCAGCACTGGACAAACTAAGCTTATTTCTTTAAGCTGAAGAGTACCCAGCACACGGTAGGCCTTCGAGGCATATTAAGTTTTACTTAAAATCAGATCCAAAAAAAGCTGAGCATAACTATTTTTAAGGAAAAGAAGAAATGAATCCCTGTTTGTGGTAGCCTACATTCTTACATGACTGTTAGAGAAAACAAGTCTTCCAAGAGACTAGAGTCGCTAATAATAGCTTGTTATAAAAATATACCCACCTAGGCATTATAACACATTTTATATGCTATGCCTTAGGTTAAAAGGCTAAATTTATCAAGATATAATTTATACTAAAAAGCTAATTCTGAATCAACAGTTAAAATTTTAGGAAGGACTCATGATGGGGGAAGGAAGGAGGCACACTGATTATACTGAGTGGCAAAATCATTACTAAAAATAAGCCTTGCTTTATAATCCATATTTTGAAAACCTCTCAAGAGTCAATAAGTCAGAAAACTATCCATCTGTTTGGAAGGAGCTAAATTTCTAGGCAACAGACAAAACTACATATATTCCGTAATAAAAATAGTACCTTTGTGATGTAGTTAATAAAGCCAAAGAGCAGCCCTGCATACTTCCCCCTGCCCTTTTTTAAAAAAAAATAAAGGAAGCATTCTTTCTGTCAGTGATAGAATCCTAGGCTAGGATATACAACACCTGCTAACTCCCTTTGGCTGTTCATTCTAGCAGGTTCAAGTGCCTGTTTATAAAAGCTCACAGACGGCCTAATCCTAACCCTCAGGCACTAGAAAGATCTGCCAGCAAGAGAGCACTTGTGTTAAGAGTAAACAGATATTCCTCTCCAATTACCAGCCTCAAACCATGAGGCCCAGGCTACTAAAGCAGTTCTCTTAGCTCAGAGAAGGACAGATGTGGGCTTGCTGTCCCCCAGAGCTGACACAGCCATTCAGTACTGGAAAGCACTACTGAGATTCTGGGGAACTTCCCTTCAGGTTAAGCAGTTGTGATTCTTCCTTCCGTTGCTCAACTGCTTTTTTTGCTCCATGCAGAACACTTGCATTACGTTCAAGAGACCTCAAAAGGGTGGTAACCACTAAAGCTCTCAACTACATTTAGAGGTCGAATCCAAATTAAATGCTAAGGTAACACTGCTTCTGCAGAACTAGAGCAGTGATTTTCTGATGGAAAATTATTATAATTTAGTAAGGCAAGATGGAGCTACGGCAATGTGTGATCATACTAATGTACCAAGGCAAGGACAATTAGGAACAAGTCAACCCAGAAGCTATACTCAGATCATAACAGAGCAGTCATGAAGTCTTTAAAAATTACCCTGGAAGACTTTGGCATAAATACCCCTCCTTTTGCCACCTTTACTTCTAGGGAGAAATGAGCGAGGTGGGGCAGTGTATTAGTTTTCTATCACTGCTGCAACAAATTATCACAAATTTAACAGCTTACACAATGCAAATTTACTATAATTCTCTAGAAGTCAATACAGGTCTCGCTGGGCTGAAATCAAGGTGTCACCAGAGCTGTGTTCCTTTCTGGAGGTTCTAGGGGAAAATTTGTTTCCTTGCTCTTTCTAGCTTCTAAAAGCCAGGCACATTCCTTGGCTCATGGGTCACTTCCTCCACCTTCAAAGCTAACGATGTTGCATCTCTCTGTGCCTTTCTTCTAAAGGTAATCTACCTTCCCTAGTCACTCTCTCTCTCTTCCACTTTTAAAGAATCCTTGTGATTACACTGGGCTCACTAAGATATTCCAGGATAACTTGCCTATCTTAAGGTCAGCTGACTAGCAACCTTAAATCCGTTTTCAACCTTAATGCCCCTTTGCTTTGTAACCTAACATATTCACAGGTTCCAGGCCATGGACATCTTCGGAGGCCG